CACACACACACACACACACACACACACACACACGGGGAGCCCCAGCCTGCAAGCGGCACAGTGCCCTCACTATTCCACTGGATGAAAAGGGCTGATTCCCTCCAGGAAGGAACCAGGAGACTTCAAAACACCAAGCTGAGCAGGCTAGCTGCCAGTTTAGACTTTTAACTTTCCACAGGCCTCCCTATAATTTCTTTTCTCTTTTTTTTTGAGACAAGAGTCTCGTTATGTAGCCCAGGCTGGTACTGCACTCACTGTGTACCCTAGGCTGGCCTTGGACTCTCAATGATCCTCCTGGCTCAGCTTCTCAGGTGCTGCGACTGCAGGCCTGGGCCACCCCTGCGTGCTCGTACACCTGCGCTTTGCATACACGGCTCGTCCTATACACACGCCATTGCTGCCCAACTTGTCTTCATCTTTTCTCTTTTCTTTGGTACCGGGGATTGAACTCGGACCCTTGTGCTTGCCGGGCAGGCGGCAGAGCCACTGAGCTAAATCCCTGGCCCTCTATTTTTTTTTTACATTAAGAATAAATCTTAATTTTCAAGTGGCCTTTGTACTCAGGGTGCACAAGCATGGGTCCCCCTAGTCCCTTCTTTGGTGGGGTGCACTCTGGGAGTTCTGGCCAGGAAGTGTGAAAGTCAGGGCTTGCAGGCTGAGGTCCTCAAACATACCCTGGGTTCACAGGGAAAACCTCTCCCACGCTTGCCGGTCATTGGGCTGATGCACCACTCTAGAAATGTCCCGTGCAATGAACATAGAACATATAAATATGTATGCATACCCTTCTTAAATTAAAAAATGTTATTTTATTTTTATTTTTAAAAACCAAACACACTTGGACTTAGTGCCAGGACATATCTTTTGTATCATAATATAAATGGTGGCATGTTATCCACATTGGTTTTTTTCTCCCTTTCCTTCTTTTCCTAGGTGATTTCTTCTACAAAGACTGCTCTTACTAACAAGGGTGAAGGAGAGCTGTGCAGTAGCATGAAAAGACATCCAAGGTGCACTATGATCAAAAACAAGCCCAAGGCAAGGTGGACTCCCAACACGACTGGCTTGAACGCTGCCTTGGTAAAGGACAGCTCACATCTAGGTGTCTGCGGCTCATGGAGGCGGGACCTGGGTGCTACGGTACATCTGGGCCCTGGCCCCATCCTCCGTCCTGCTTCCAGCTGCCACGAGGTGAGTAGCACTCCTGCTCCACACCTTTCCACCATACGTTTGCATTGGAGCCAGCTTGCCATGAACTGAACTCTCTGCAACTAAGAGCCACAATAAACCTCTCCTCTTAAAAAGCTGTGATTGTAAGGTAGTTTTTCCCAGCAACAAGAAAGCTGACCAACACAGCAATTTACACAGAACCATTCCATTTTCTTTCAAACACACTAAAACAAATGCACTACCAACAAGCATATTCCTGTGCGAGGTATGAAGAAGAGGCTTGAGAGCAGTGAAAAGAGGAGCTGCCTGCAAGGCAGGAGTGGGATTTGAGACGGGGGTGACAGAAGGGGCGGTGTGGATGGGCAAACGCCCGGGCAGCGCTCCTTCCCGTAAGCAGTGAGAACGCCAGTGTCACCTATGCAAGGAAAGAGGGCTGCACGAGGGCCGGGGATGTGGCTCAGCGGTTCCGCCACCTGCCTTGTGAGCGCAAGGTCCCGAGTTCAATTCCAGGAACCCACACAAAAACAACTACACGAAAAATTAAATTTCAAAGCAAAAAGTAGTGCTCTTTGCCAGAATTTCATTAAAATTGAAAAGAACAACAATGTGCCATGCAGTACTTACTCTCTGCCACCATCAGGATCCTGCACGTCTTTAAGGTAGAGGGAAAAATCGATTACTCCAACCTGACAGAAATAAAATGCACAGGTTTAGTAAAAGACAACACTTCTCATTTTCTGCAAGCCTTTCAAGTCTTGAAATTCAGAGTATTCAATACCACTGCCGATATCCAAAAAAGCACATTGTTTATAAAGATTAATGAAGTCTTTTGTGTACAAAGTAATTTAAAAAAGGAGACCTAGATCTCAGACTAAAGTAGTGACACTTCTGAGTCCTTTTTTACCCAAAGTTTGGTGAGATGATCTAGTCTGTTTTCCAGGAAAAATTTTGTTACCATTGGGAATCAGGGAGGACCAAAACTCCTCACCCATCTGAGCATCAAGGGTTTTGTCCTTCTCTCCAGAAGGGAGAGGGGCTTTTCAAGAATTAAGGATGTGAGAGTAGGGGAAGCCATTCCTGTCTGAGATACAGGCACACAGCATGCAGCCTAAATGTCTGTGTATGAGGAAACATTGAAATGACTCATGTTATATCGGTTACACGCAGAACCGTAACAAAAAATGTGAATTGATGTGCAATAATAAGAATGAAGCTCCAGGACACAATCTGGAGTCAAAGAACAGTAAGTACAGCGTCAGCCCCATGAGAGTGACCCCTTACACAAACACCATGGCTGTGTGACAACTTTAAGACATGAAGGCACCTTCTCCAGCCTCTATCTGCCACCAACAGGAATCAATCTGCGTTCCCAGTCCTGGAACCAGGATGGCCTTGGTTCCTGTTCTGATGAGTAAAATGCAGAAGACACAATACTGTGTGGCTTTTGTGGCTTCCACCTGGCACACACACTTTGATACTCTCAAAGTTCACAAAGCAAGCCAAATGCTGCAGACCTCGTGCGAGGGCCATATACAGACCTGATGCCTCACAAGCCCTGACCTCCCAGCTCTGGAGTCAGCTCAGCCCCAAGCACGGACTCAAGCTTCAGGGACCCAGCCCTTCCCCGACTGACCGTGATCTCGGCGCTCTTGCTCGTGAGAGCCACCTTTCCGGACTCAGTCAACCTGGCTGTCAGACATAGTGGCTGCCACTGCTCAGGTGGCTGCTGATTTCTTTGACAGGGACAGAGAACAGAGAACAGGGACAGAGAACCCCAAAAGGGTTCGCTTAAAACAAAACCTGTGTATGTACACATGCAGGGAAGTGGAAAGTCTTTACCCTCATGTGTCGGGGAGGAAGAACTGAGAGGCAAAGGGACAGGAAGCTGGAACTTCACCTGTCACTTTATACTCTTCTGTGTCGCCCAGCGTTTTTTTTCAACAAACATGCACTGTTTGTGTAATAAAAAATGAAATAATAAAAACAAAAAATATTCAACTGGGGGCAAAAAGCCAACAATAGAAAGAATGAGAACTAATACCCAAGGCAGACACGAATGGCTTAGAAAGCAAACCAAGCTCTCCTCCTATTCTTAGTACACGTGTGGCCCAAGTGAGCACCCAAACTCCCCTCCTAACGTGGAAGTGACACACAGAGCTGGTTCTTCAAAGTTCAACACAGCAGATCAGTCTCCGCCAAGCACGGGCAACATGTGACAAATGTAAATATTATGAAGGAGAGTGGTGAGATTTTAAAAAGCTATGACAGAAATCTGTCGCACAACTTTAGCTTACAATATCTGAAAGAAATGATTTCCAGGAAAATAGAAATGACTAAAAAGTTGTTGTAAGAGTTAGAAAACCAGGGCCACAGATGTAGCTCAGCAGTGCAGCATCTGCCTGGCAAGCACGAGGCCTGAGTTCGATCCCTGGTACCAAAAAAAAAAAAACAGAGAGAAAAACCAATAAATTGACCAAAAACTATGCACAAAATTAAAGTGAAGCTGGGCATAGTGGTGCATTCCTGTAATCCCAATACTTGGAAGGCTGAGGCAGGAGGATCACTGCAAGTTCAAGGCAAACTGACAGTGAGTTCAAGGCAAGCCTGAATTACACAGTGAGGCCCCCCCCACCCCGCGCGCACACGCACACACACAGAGTAAAAAAGCAGTAAGACTAAAAAAGGCATAAGGCTGACGTGGTCATATAGTTTTTTTCTTTTTTTGAGACAGGGTCTCACTAGGCAGTTCAGGCTGGCCTTAACTTGCTATGTAGTCCGGGCTGGCTTCGAACTCTTGGTGACCCTCCTGCCTCAGCCTCCTGAGTCCTGGGATTACAGGTGTGTGCCACCATGTCCAGCTCTGACGTGGTCACACAGTAAGTTCCAGCAAATCTTGAAAGAAAAAATTCTGTTCTAACAAGGAAAGGAAGAACAATATTTTCCTGTTTATTATTATGAGTCCCATGTAATCCTGACACTGAAAGGTGGTAAGGACAGTACAGAAAAGTCAAGACAGTTTGACTTATGAGCAGAGATGCAGAAATGCCAGATAAACCATAAGCATGACTAGTACATGATGCCCAAGCAAGGGTCAGTTTAGGGATGCACGAATAAAATGGTAATGGGAAATCTACAGATTGATCCAGTTATACTTGTTAGTTAAAAAGAGACATATCCCAATACATGTAGAGGTAGGTATCTGACAGCATTCTGTATTCACTTCTACTGAAAACATAAACTGAAACAGGACAGTAGTTGCTCAGCATGAGGAGCAGTGACACAGGACCGGAGCTGCCTTCTGATAAGAGGTCAGGCCAGGCACATCTACCATTGACACAAATCTCAGTGGGGTTTTATCTTGGGGTTAGACAAAATGATGTCCAAATATCCCAGGCAGAACGGATGGCCTCAAAATATCTGAAGAAGTGCAGTGGCACTGGCAGAAGGTTGGCTAGCACAGTGTGGAACATACCAGTGATACAAGGGTGAACACAGGAACCAAACAGAGGAGTCCAGGAATAAACCTGGCATGCACCACAAAGGGGGACCCCAAATTAGTAGAAAAACAATATATTTAGTAGATGATTTTGAAAAGACTGGTTTATTATTTGTAAATCTAGATTCCTACTTCAAACTATGTCAAAACAAACGATAGATTATTTAAATGTAAGAAAATACACATTTGTTATTCCTTTTTTTTTTTTGTACTGGGGATCCAACTTGGGTCCTTGCACTTTCGAGGCAGGCGGTGGAACCACTGGGCTAAATCCCCGGCTCAAAAATACACATCTGATTAAACAAAATGAAGGTGCAGGGCCCATCCTGTAATCCCAGCTACTCAGGAGGCTGAGGCAGGGGAAATCACAAGTCCTGGGCCAGTGCGGTGAGACACTGTCTCAAAATTAAAGGGGGGTCTGGGCCTGTAGCTCAGAGGTAAAGTGCCTGCTGCCCGGCACGCACGATGGCCTGGGTTTGACCCCTGACACCGAAACCGAAACCAACTGCGACCCCCCCCCCCCCAACGCTGACAGGGACAAGGAGGGGCAGAGGGCCGGGCGTCTGGGGCACAGACCACCCGAGGGCGCCGGCGCTGTCCCGCTGCTCTCCTCCCTGGGACCGCCCCGGCCCTGCCCCTTCCTCCTTGGGACCGAGGGTCCTCAGCGCTTCTGCCATCTCGGTCGTGGCCACTTCTAACTCACAGCCCGCACAGCTCTTAAGCCCGGGGCGACCGTTTCAGGGCAGGGCTGAACACTGCCCAAGCTTGTCCAGCCCTGGGGCGCAGCGCCTCGCCGTCCTCCATCGGGGGCGCCCACCGGGGCCCATTCTCGGCTCACCCTCCCTGCAGACCCTGTGTGCAATCTCCGTGTACCTGGGAATCCAAGTCTTCTCCCTTTAGGCAGAGGTTGGCATCGAGCACATTGAGTCCCACCAGCAGACCGACGATCACCACGCCCTCTTCCTGCATCATCAGGGCCTCAGGCTCGTAGAACTCGCTGGAAGAGAGCCCCCCACAGAGAAGTGCAAGGCGCCCGCCCGCCTACCCCTCTGAGGAGGCTGCCTGACTGAATTTTCTTTCTCCTCTCATTTCCTTCCACTGCGTCAAGCGCTGCGATTTCCACTTCCTCTCTGCTACAGATTTTGGGGGCGGGGGGGTACCGGGGATCAAACTCAGGACCTTGCGCTTGTGAGGCAGCCACGGTGCCACTGAGCTACTTCCCCGCCACCCCCGTTTTGGGTAGGGCCCAGGCTGGTCTGGAGCTCGTGGGCTCGAGCCACCCTCATGCCTCTGGAGCCTGAGCAGCAGTGTGGCCACCACGTGGGGCTCTGGGTCGAAGGGCTGCCCCCCATGCAGCATGTGGCGTCCAAGTGTCAGAAACTTCAGAGGCGGAGCCTGCCGGGAGCCTTTGTGCTTGGGGCGGGGCGGGACTGGCCGTGACCAGGTCCTCTCGCCCCTCGTCAGATGTGCAGTGTTTACTCCACCACCGGGCTCAAATCCAAAGCACCTGGGCCAACTAGTCATGCACTGAGCCTCCGCAACCTGTAAGCCAAAAATAAGCCTTTCCTTGGACTCCGCTGACCACCTCGGGTGTTTCAGTAGGGATGAACAGCCAGCCGAGTCTGCATCCTCTCCTTTCTTCCTATGCCCTCGGACGGACGGAGTGTTTCATCCGGCTAAGAGGGCTTCATTTAGATCCTGGATGCAGGCCCTCTCACCTGCTGGGTCCTGCCCTCCAGGCCAGCACTTGGCCCCTGCTGTGTTTCCCCGGCTCCTCTTCCACACCCGTACACACTGTCTAACCTTACACTCTAAGAAACAGCCTCCTAATTCCAAGAACAAAGCTCTTCCCTCCTCCTGACCACTGAGCAACACTTGCTGCTTTTGTTTCCTTACTTCCTCTACCACTGCTTCCAGTCTCCAATGGTTTACAGTTTATGAAATCTAGTGGTTTCCAGACCACAGTGTATTGTGTACATGTGGATGAGAGAGAACTTAGGAACAATTTGTTCATTAGGATAAAATCTGTAACTCAAAATTATTCAGTGTAACAGGATTGTTACTGATAGATCAGTATTTATCAGGTAGGAATGGTGGTACATGTCTATATTCCAGGACTCTGGGAGGCTGAGGCAGGAGGATTGCAAATTTGAGCCCAGTTTGGGTAATTTGGTGACTTAGTAAGACCATCTCAAAAAGGGGGGGGGCAGGGATATAGCTCAGTGTGAAGATCCTGGTTCAATCTCAGAACTGAACCCTCCCCCACAAAAAACCCCCAGAAAACTCAAAACCCAAAACAGAACAATAACAAAAAACCAGTCATAGGGCCGGGTATTTAGCCTCAGTGGTTCCACCACCTGCCTCGCAAGCGCAAGGTCCTGAGTTTGATCCTCAGTAACAAAAAAAGAAACAAACAAACAAAAACCAATCATACATTTCTGTGATAGCCACCTTTTCAAGTTTTTCCTGATGATAAGAGGTATAAAATTTTACGAACTGGATGTGGAACCCTGGATTGACTAATACAGGTATGCTCTCTTACCAAAATCTTGATTTTTTTATTTTAAAATTGCCCATTGCGGAAGCTGGGCATTGTGGCACATACCCATAATCCCAGCACTCAGGAAGCTGACGCAGGAGGCCTGTGAGCTGGAGGCCAGCCTGGATAGCACAGTGAGATTCTGTCTCAAAGCCCAAAAGAACACAACCACAAAAGAGGACAACTGTCCACTATCCCTAGTTCTGAAGTAATTTTTTCTGTTATCATCTAATGAATATCATTTCACTGAAAGTTAATGGAATAGGCTGTCAGTTACCAACTCTCAGGTATTAATATTTTTGAAGAATTATCTTCAAAATTTTTCCAAAATCAAAAGTCGTATGAATCTTCATTCATAACGACTTTTAGACATCAGTGCTCAGAAAAGAAACCAGCCCTGCCATTTTAAAACTAAGGCACAGAATACTTAAGATTAGTAATTTCCATAAAACTTGTGAAGATCATATACTGTTATTTTAATTCAGAATGACCTGCAGAATCTTCTGTCACTATTTACGACGCAAAAGAAAAGCAGAGACAGGTGCTGCAATACCTTAGGAGATGCTTATTGTCTACCAGCACTTTCAGATAATCTGCCAGCGTCTTCTGCATGAGGGCAAGGTAGAGCCAGGCTCGGCCTCTCCCCACGGCCGTCCTGGGATTTAAGCAGAGAACAAGCTGCGTGGGGCTGCGGCAGCGACTGCAGACGCTGAGAGCAGTGCTCCCGCTCCCGCTCCCGCTCCCGCTCCCGCTCAGCCAGCGCGCAGAGCTGGAAGGGCCTCGAGGCGGGCGCTGCGTGCTCGCACCTCCAGGGACTGTTTGAGTGACGCAGTGGAGCATGGGCTTTGTCCTTTTTCCAACTAAAGGAAAAAAATCTTAAGCCGCAAAATTATGATTTGTAAAACAAATACAAAATTAGAGCTCTGTATGTATAAAATTTCACAGGGAGCTGGGGAATAGCAGGTGAGGGTGGTGTCACGGACACTCTTTCAGAAGACTGACACAGAACACAGTGCTGGTGGTGTTGAAGCACCACAGACTTCTAACGCGCTGGCCTAAAGATGTGCTTTTGGGTGAGGGTGTCTTTTTTAACTGTGGTAAATTGCACAGTGTGGACTCTGCCTTTCGTCCCAGCCAGCTTGACAGACACCCTTTCGCCATGGAGCCCTTCTGTCTGCTGTGCCGTGGGCTCCCAGGCTACAGTTTTGGAAAGGTCCACATTGCTCATAAGAGAAAGCGAAGCTTCTAACCACAGAACCGAAACTGTTTAAGGAAGAGGAGATTTTGTTCTAAGCACTAGGAACATCTAGGAAGTAAAGGCAACGCTATGGCTAATTGGCATGGAAGGAAGCTCCCAGGGTCAAAGACCTGGCTAGTTGAAGGTCAGGCACCCCCTGTGTCTCAGAAGCCAGGCTCAGAAGGGTTAACCTCATTTCAAGAATAAAAGGCTCTGACCTCTTCCCCCATAAATGATGCTAAGTCAGAGAAAAAAGGAGGAAAGAAAGTAGGAATAAAAGATACATAATGTTGGCATGGTAGGAAAAATAAAGGCTGAGACGTGCTGCTTAGTAAGAATGTGAAGTGGTACAACTTTTCTAGCTGAGAATCTGATGACAACAGACTTCAAAATTCATCATCTAGCAATAGGTATTAAGGTGATAATTTAGAGGAGACACAAAAATTTATGTTTGGGGATGGTTACCACATCACTGTGAGAAAAAAATGAGAATCCGAGGACAACTGCAAAGTCCACACAGGGATTTTAAAAATTAACTATACAACAGAATACTATTTGGCCACTTAAAAATGATAGTGTGAGCTAGGTGTGTGGTATGAGGTATGGCGGCACATGTCTGTAATCCCAGCAACGCAGGAGGCTGAGGCAGGAAGATCACAAGCTTGAGGCAAATCTGGCAACTTAGTAAGATTCTGTCTCAAAATAAAAAATAAAAAGAGCTGTGGATATACCTTTGTATTAAAGCACTCCTGGGTCACATCCCCAGTACCAAAAAAGAAGATGCTATGTACAAAGAAATGCTCAATGTCTGAAGAGACAGGTGTCACCCGAGCTGATTATTACACGTTGTGCACAGGCACTGCAAGGCCATGTGTATGCCCTACACACACGTACAATTACTGCGCCAGACACAAAATAGGTACTAATAAAAAAGATGTGGGCAAATATTTGACATGAGCTTAAAATCTAAAATTAAATGGAGGGCCAGGGATTTAGCTCAGCGGTTCTGGCACCTGCCTCGGCAGCGCAAGGTTCCAAGTTCAATCTCCGGTACCAAAAAAAAAAAAAAAAAAAAAAAAAAAATTAAATGGAAAAAGCTACAAAACAGTATGTACACTTTATGAACGCTGAACTCTGTTGTCTTGGGAACAGGCAATGAGACCTGCACCTGCTTTAAAGCAGGAAGTACTGTGCTGACAGACACCCAGCTCCAACTCCCTCTGGGTCTGGTTCTCCACTTGCCTGTTCCCCCTCTGCACCCACTAATACACTGTTTTACTTCCATGTACAAACAAGCATGGACTCTTATTCTTTTCCCCCTTTTTAAAAACCAACCAAAACCAAACCCACACACTTTGGCAATTTACTTATTTCACTGAGTATCTGTCATCCTGAAAATCTTTCCATATCTGCACACACTTTCACCTTCAGTGTTTCAGTAATGGTCTGCTGGTTCTAACCTTCTGCTGTCACCAATGATGCTGCAATGGGTAGTCATGAATTTCTTTTCTGAGATGAGGTCTTGATATGTTCTCCAGTTGGTCCTGAACTGCTCAGCTCAAGTGATCCCCAGGTGCCAGCCCCAAGCAGCAGGGACTCTGGGAGCCACTGTGTGCAGTGCTGTGTCATGTGTCACATCCACAAAAGAGCTGCCTAGAAGTGGGAGGGTCAGGGCAGACACATCTGTAACTCTGCTGGGCAGTGCAAAGTGTCCTCCACAGGAATGAGTGCAACATGACGAGATGTGGTGGGGTAGAGGATAAAATAAAAACGGAATCTCATCTGTTTGACTGACAATGTGCCAGAGGGTCCAGGATACTGATCAAGATGCTAGTATATTTCTTCTCCCCTTTGCCTTTTTTTGGGAGGGTGGGAAGGACTGAACCCAGGGCCTTTGACCTATGCCCTCAACCCCAAGTATTTTTATTCCTTGGTCATTGGGTAATGGAGGAAGTACGACAATTTCATTTGTTTCTGGTTTGTTTTTATTTCCTAATTAAAAATTAAGCAACTAGAAGCCAGGCGTGCTACCACACGCCTATAATCCCAGCACTCAGGAGGCTGAGGCAGGAGGAGCGGTGGGTTTGAGGCCAGCCTGGGCACATAGTGAGTTCAAGGCCATCCTTAATTACATAGTGAGACCCTGTCTCAAAAAACAAAACGACAACAAAAACAACAACAAAAAAATTAAGCAATTAGAAAAAATTGTTTTTCATTTTCACTTTTTTTTCTGGTACTGGGGATCAAAATTAGGACCTTACACTTGCCAGGCAGGCGAGGTGCTGCTGAGCTACTATATCCCTGGCCCTGTTTTTAATTTTCTAAAGAAAGAGAAATCTTGCCTAGTCTAAGTGGTAGTGTTTGCAGTTGGTATCTATCCTACAAAGCTACGTTCAGTGATAAACTGTGACATGAAAACAGTGAGACATTTGGGCAATAGGTCATGCTATGAAACACATTTTTAAAATCTCAATTAGATGAGACAGTATTAAACTCTAGGAAAAGTCTTCCCATGAATATAAAATTTATACTGTTTCAAACTACTTTAAACAATCCTCTACTACCTAACCCCTCAAAAAACTCCAAGTAAGTAAAAAATACTTTCCAAAATACTGTAGAAATTTTAGAACTTTCAATACATAATAAAACAGTAAAAATGCTGTGGCTTTATTTTGGTGGTGGTGGTACTGAGACTTGAACCAGCACCTTTGCACTAGCTACATTCCTAGCTCTTTTTGCAAAATTTTTTTTTCCTGGTACTGGGGATCGAACTCAGGACCTTGCACTTGCGAGGCAGGCGCTGTGCCACTGAGCTAAATCCCTGGCCCTGCAAATTTTTATTTTGAGACAGCATCTCACTAAGTCACCAGGTTGGCCAGGTTTAGCAAAAACTTGAGCTCCTCCTGCCTCAGTCCCCCAGGGTTCTGGGATCACAGGCAGTAGCCACCAACCCTGGCTCACTGCAGCTCTTCAAGAAGCAACAGAGGCCCGTCTCCTCAGCTCCTCCAGGTTCCTCCTAAAGCATCAAGAGCAGAGACCCAGTGTGTCTGCTATTTCTGCAGACAGGGTGAAGGTGTACAATATATAAGCTTGTTACTTGGTTAGCAACCAGAGGGTTACTGAGGAAACGAGTGGTGATGTGGTGGATCGGATGGCAGTGAGCAGGCTCTCAGTACAGTAAGACTTCAGAAATGCCCTGGGGGGCTGGGGATTGAGCTCAGTGGCTCTGCCACCTGTCTTGCAAGTGCAAGGTCCTGAGTTCGATCCCTGGTACCAAAAAAAAGCCCTGGGCTGGGGGTACAGCTCAGTGATAGGGTGCCTATGAGACCCTCAATTCAGTCCCCTGAATTCACTGAAAAGAAGAGGTCATCAAAGAACTATCTGAGAAGTTGGCATGTGCACAAAACTTTAGACATATGTGGTATAGGCCCAGAAGGCCGCACTAGTGACAGGGACCAACGGGTTAAACCGTCCTGAGAAGAATGCACACAGCTTGGTCACAATGAAGGTCAGTGAGATTTCAAGGGTTGTAGACAACAGATCCGTGATCTACTCCTGGCTCCGCCAGCCACTCGCCAAGAGAGCTTGGGCAGCTTACTTCACCAGTCTCAGTCTCAGTCTCCACACTGCCCATGGGGGACCAGGGGCTGCCCTGATGATCTGCCAGGAGGATGACAGGAGTTAATAAATGTCCTCAGCACAATGCCTGGCAGACCGCAGGTCCTTAGGGTGGCAGCTATTACTTCCTAAAACCAACAGGCTGCCTCCGCAGAAGTGTCAAGCAAAGGCTGAACATTAGTCCCCCACAGGAGACTCTGCAGAGGATTCATTTACATCAGCTTACTGACCCCTAAAGGCCCTTAGGAATGTAGATTCCATGATGATACCTTATTTGTGTTCGTTCTATCCAGCTTTTTTTGTTTTGATACCGGGGATCGAACTCGGGACCTTGAGCTTATGAGGCAGGCGCCAGAACCACTGAGCTAAATCCCTGGCCCAATCCAGTTTTGATCTTAAGCTTATGTATAGTGGTCCCAAAGACAAATCCAGATATGGTAAATAATTCATTGGCCCCCGCCCATTCACAAATGCCCCTTGTCCTGGAATCTAAGATCTGGCCTAAACTGTACTACTCACACTGTCCAGCTCTATCCAGATTTCGGGAGTGTTAACAATGACTCCTTTTCCCCTGACTGCTCTTTGACTATACCTCTTCAACCTATTTGACCTGTACGGCAAGCAGCAATCACTGTGCTCATGTAAAAGAGAAGGAAACTGAGGCTCAAAGAGGTGGAAATATTGCTCAAGATAATGTGGATAACCGAGCGGTAGGACTAGGGTTAAAGTTTGTTTAAGTCCAGTGTGGTTCATGCTACAATTTGTTCCAAGTTAGAAAAGGTTTTATCAGCAAGAAATTGAGAAATGAGTAAATATGAGGGAGTTTTAAAAACATCAAATAGGTATCAGTACTTCTCACTCACTTTAGTTCTGGCAGATTTCTGACACTAGTAGCTATATCTGATGCTTCTGGACAAAGTTTCTCCACCAGCTCCAAAGGACCAAAGAAAGATTTATTTTGGCCAATAAAACTCTTCTTAACTAAAAGGGAAAACAGAAGTGTTATTCATAAGAACATGTCGCAAAATTGCTTCAGGGCCCACAGTCTTTCTCCCAAACACCAAGTGAAAGGTGGGGAGCACCACTGCTCGACCCTTCTGATTCAGCCCCGGGGACTGGGAATGGCCAAAGAACAAATCAGCTCTTCCTCCCTCTGGCAACGGCTTCTGATACACTTGCTAAGCCCGTGCTCTACCGGCCCGGAATAAAACAGGTGCCATCTATGCTCACCTGGAGATCTTCCCCCCTTTTCCTTCCTCCTGATAGAAACATCAATGCTTGATTTCTTCTATCATCACTGCCATCCCTCACCAGAAGTGCTCTAGTAACCTAATTGGTCTCCCTGCTCCCTCCCAAGTGTGTCACCTCCCACCGTTGCAATGCATTCTGGGTATGGCTGGAAGTTCTTTTACAAGTGCAAGTTAGGTCACTCTAACTCTAAGTCCTCCAAACCCTAAAATCCTAATGCTAACCCTAAGCCTAATGCTGATTTTTTTTTTTTTGTCCAAAACTTGCACCAAAATCCTTCCCCAAATCCATGTAAAATAAACTTAATTCCTCACATGACCTTTACGGCCCTGCATGATACAGTTCCTTCACACTCCCCTGTCCTCCTCTTGCATGCTCTCTCTCAGTAGGCCTCAATTTCCAGGAGTGCTCCTCAAGCTGAGGTCAGTCCCACTCAGGGCCTTTGCGTGGATTTTTATTCCCCTCCTCCATCTCTGAGGCGCAGGCTCCCTCTTCTCCTCGGGTCTCAGCTCCCATTTCACCTCCCTACAAAGACCCTCCCCTCCCACCACAGCTCAAAGTTTCTTTATTTAATTCTCTATCATTTAACTCACTTTGCTTCTTGGACTTTGAAGCATTTTGTAATTATGGTTGCTTCTGTGTTTAGTGCCTGTCTTGTCTTCTAGAACTGCGCTGTCCAAGGCAGTGACCAGCCACCTACGCTGCCTGCAGAGGACTTGCCAGTGTTAATGAGGAACTGAACTGAGATTTGCTGGGAGTATAAAACACAGTGGACTTTTAAATTGGTATCAAAAAGAATGTAAAATGTCATTACTAAAGCCTCAAAATAATGATTATGTGTCAAAATGATATTTCGGATATGCTAGGTGCAGTAAAATGTATTATTCATATTAATTTCATTTGTTTCTTTTTACTAAAGTGTGGCTGTAGAAAATTAAAAGCTATTTATGTCTCTGCACCTTTCTTTCGGACAACGCGGCCCTAGAGCATCGCTTCTCGAGGGCAAGGGAGTTGTTCTGCACACAGCTGTCACCATGCAACCAGAACACGTGAAGCCGACGCTGAGCGGAGTGTCGCTCGCTCGCTCGGACGGCCCAGGCTCACCTTTCAGCCCGTGTTTGAGGCAGTGCTCCATCACCACAAAGAACTGCTGCAAGGGGGCGTGGTCCGCGTCCAGGCTGCGGCCCAGGCTCAGGGCCGACTGGAGCAAGACCTTGATGCTCAGTTTCATCATGTGCATCAGGTTGGAGCGCTCCTCCATCATCTGGCTTCTGGAAGCTGTGGGAGGAGCAGGGCCACAGTCATTAGTGGCCTGAGGAGGTCGGGGGAGATGGGGTGGGACGCTGGGCACCGGAGGAAAGCCAGGTGCCCAGGGCGCAGACGCGCTAATAACTGGGGTTCGCAGTCAGCAGGTCACCACTCCCCAGAGGCCACAGCCTTACCTGGGCTCTACCAAGGTTTACAGTGATTGGTCTTTCCCATCACCCTGTACCATTTTCGACCAATAAAAGGGCGCAAGCTCCATTTTAAAGTACAGAGCCTGCTCCAGGTTAAGCGTCCCGCCCCCGTACTCCTATTGGGTGAATCAGCAGAGACCACGCCCACGAGCGGCGGGCGCCATTTTACGTTCTCCGCCCGCCCGGACCTTGGAGCCACTTTTGTGTGACCGGACGGGCGCGCTTCCCGCCCAACAGTTCCGGACTCCGATTCCCCTCGCCGCCGACCTTTCATCCATGAGTAGTGGACAGTCCTGAATTTTACAAACCTTTCTGGGAATTAAAACGGTTAAGAGTCAAGCGAACTCAGCTACGTTTCTGTTTCGCTCCTTTTCTCCCTGTGTTTAACACCGGACTTGGGCCGAGCGCGGCCGACAGTTCCCTCAGCCAGGACGCCGCGTCCGGGCGACCGCAAAGGCCCGCAGCCCTGCCCTGCCAGGCCCGGACGGACATTAAGAAGGTGGATTTGTGATAAAGGTCTAAGGAAATATGGAGACACCCTGGGACGCAAACTTCTGGAATGTCTCGCCAAAATCCACGAAGGTTGGGGCGAGCTGCTAAGGAGCGATCGAAACCTGTCCTCTTGGCTGCGAAGGGGGCAAGTGGGTCAAGTAAAGCAGTCAGATAGGAGTGGCTTAATTATTCTTAAATTTCACCTTCCACCCGGAGGACTCTCGACCCCAGGGTCTTGCAGGTGCTAGGAAGTGCTCTGCCCTGAGCCCCAGCCCCAGCCCCAGCCCTAAAAGTAGAAATTAGAAGCCTTCAGTGCACGGATGCTTGGCAGAGGAGATAACGGAAAACCTCAACAGGAAGGAGACGATACGACAACAACCCAAGAACTGCGGAGGCTCCCAAACCCCGAGCCCGCGGAGCGACTTCCGGTCTTCAGCCCGCACCGCTGCGCGACGGCCCTGGGCTGGGCTCCTTCCCTCTCGGTGCGGTCGGATGCGGGACCCAGGAGAGGGGAGACTCCTGAGGTCATTTCTGCTTTCACCCAGGAAGCTTACGTCTTGGGGGAAAGGGTGGCTTCTAGCTCTTTGCTGGGCGATTTGGGCAGTTAAGCATCTTTTATCTGAAAATAAATTTTTCAAAGGCTAGGGAAAGCCCCTGTATAAGAGCCCTGGATTCAATCCCCAGTGCCACAAAACACAGCAAAACACCCCCCCCCCCCAGGTCCCTGAGTGAAAGAGGGGCTCTGGGAATTCTCTACCGAATCTGAATTACAGAGGGGTGCCACAATTCTTTACAAACTGAGAAAAACAGTGAAATAAAATTTTAAAAATATTCTGTCCAGGCTAACTGCGAACTCCTGGGTTCAAGTGATCCTCTGGGTTCAACCGCCAGAAGAGCTGAACTACAGACAGGTCTAGCTACATAATTTTAAGTGGCAGATGCCTTCTGGCTGAGCACATTTTTATGAACATTCACGCTTTGCTACTCATCCTTTAAAAGAACTCTAAAAGCAAGATGTAGGGTGTGTGTGTGTGTGTGTATTTTAATTTATTAAGTGTTTGATTCTGCAAATCTCAGCATAGATAATCCCATTATCCTTATCTCCTCTGAGTGAAGAAAGTCAAATTTTAATTTATGATGACCTAAAGTCCTAGTGCCAGGCCCAAGGGCCATAGGAGGAACAGTCTTCAGGAAGTAAGTGCCTGGTGTGTGAGCACCCAGTGTGTGAAACTACTGAGAAAAGAGAGCAGCCAGCTATGTGCAGAGACATCCAGGAAGATACAATAGGATTGGGGACAGTCTGGGGGAAGAATTTACTATATGCCCAATATTCTTTTCTATGGTTGGATTTTAACCATTTATAGTTTTCCTTTAACAAATTCCAAAAACCCAAATAAGGCAACTGTGCACAACACAATCACTGTGGGGCCAAGTGAGTAATTTTTGGGGGGGCAGTGCGGGGGGTACAACCTAATATCTCACACATGCTTAATATACTCCTGGCCCCAGCACGGGTGACATACTTTTTTTTAAAGAAAATGGTTTTTATTTTTTAAATATGATAAAATGTTTAAATTACTCTTTTTTTTTTGGTACCAGGGATCAAACTCGGGTCCTTGCGCTTGTGAGGCAGGCAGCAGAACCACTGAGCTAAATCCCTGGCCCATAAAATGTTTAAATTAATATTTTAAAGTTGGTGAAATCTCAGATTTATATAACATTTTGTATCCAGTTTTTTGGGGCAACAAAAACATCAGTATGGTCAAATGTTAACTTATTTCACTTTGTATTAATAAATTTATTTATGAATAGACATAAGAACTTCTTGGCATTATATTGTTTTTAAAAGAAAACATTTAATAAACTGTATCATAACCCCAAAGTATGCTGGAAAAGTATAAAAGGTTAGAGGGGAAAGAGCTTCAGTTTAGTCCCACTTTTTGGTACATCCTGAGTCATCTTTCTTTCCTGTTTCTAAGATTATGATTTTTATTGTAATTGGTTTAGTTTTAAAATGACAACATATTAACAAATTATTATTGATACAGGCTTTTCAATTTGTCTAAAATTATGCATTGTAAGTAGAATGAAGAAGCAGCATTTCCAGTTGATAAGTGGATCTATGGATAATGAGGTATTTCTTAAATAAAGCTTGTGACAATTAAACCAACAAATGGTGGTAATGAGAAAACTACTGACAAAGTACAACTAGGGAATGTTCAACTCAATATATGCAGGAATCTGTACTTCAAGTAAAAGAATGAATACCTGAAGCAGTACAAATGGTAACCAGGTACCAAGAACACAGTCAATGAGCTTGGGCAAGAGTATTCTTTTAGAGTTTACAATGTAACTAGGGAGGGATGAAGAAGGAAAATACAAGATAGGCTCATTCATATAGGAAGTTATTTGAATAGCCTGTACCAAGGTAATAACTTCTGACCAAGAGGTTATGAAAGCCATGAATAAAATTAGCATCATGGAAAGTGACAGGCAGTAACTCTGAATGCTGACATGGACAGGACATTGGTAAGAAATAGTCTGTGCCTTCAGGCTTTGGTAGATACCTGGTTCTCCCAAAACCTAAGCAAGGACTGAAATCCAAATCAAAATTACTGCCAAGAAATAAAACGCCTTCTGACATTTAGATGATAGCTCGGTGAGTTTAGAGAAATTCAGGCAATAATCTATACAAGATACTAAGAAGACTGGATAATGCAAAAAGCCATAAGTAAAGAGAATAATTTGAGCAAAGAGGCAGATATGGTATTTAGTAAACCTAATACCTAAAAGTACAAAATCCCTGAAATAGGATATAATGGAAATGTTTACCAAAAATTAAAAATGAACAAATGCTAATGAAACACAAAAACATTCCATAAAATTTTTTTTTTTGGTACCGGGGATTGAACTCGGGTCCTTGCACTTGGGAGGCAGGCAGCGGAACCACTGAACTAAATCCCTGGGCCCCATTCCATGAAATTTTGATAGCTGTTTTTTCTTCTCATTCCTAGTGTCAGGACACTTAGTAATATTTTCCCAAGTACAATCAAGAACAACAGAAAAGTAGCATCTAGAGGCTGATTTGTTTGATGTAACTGGTTCTGAAAAGAGCAGCTATCTGAAGAAAAAGAGGTCATATTTTTAAATTTCAAGAAGACGTGCTGAAAAATACAGGATAAAACACTGCTTTACTTTATTTTCCATTCACATAGTGTAGTTTAACTTGACCTTATCTGAAAAAGTTCCATCACAGGTTCTTGTCACAAGGACACAGAAACAGCTGCCAACCTGACGACTGCCAAGTGGTGTTGCTTGGAGGAGGCCTAGATGGGATGACCAGATGAGTCTCCAGAGTCTTCCTAACCAGTGATCCTATTTTATTTTGATTTTGCTGCCTTCAATTATGTCACTGTTGCTTCCTTGCACTTCATTTTGCTATGCCACAATGCTATGTACCTATCCTTTGCTGGTGCGGGTTATCTCTGGAAGTTGAGTTGCTGCTGCTCCTCTTGGGGCTCCAGGGCACACCTTCCTCTGGAGTCCACCAGCAGAAACCACTGGCCAAAGCTCGAGATGGGTGACATTTTTAAACAGCACTCAAAGCAGTCCACAGCCATGTCGGGGCTGGGGATGTAGCTCAGTGGTTCTGTCACCTGCCTTGCAAGCACAAGGTCCTGAGTTCAATCCCCGGTACCAAAAAAAAAAAAAAAAAAGGGCTGCCATCAAAATGTTATCTGGCAAGGGTGCTGTTCATGCTCGAACTCTGCTCCAAAACTGCTCCCTCTGAAAACTCTTCCTGCCCTCCCTACTCCAGTGAGGTGAGCAACAATGGGCCAGTTTGGCCCTGCCCTGGCCGAAGTGGGGGCCGCTGTTTTCCTGCTTGTCTGGCTTCTGCAGGGCACCCTGCCCAGAGCCCAGTCCTTCCCCACCTACTTCATAGCTTCAAATCCTGTGGACCCTCAGGGACCAGCCACACAGCCCAGCCCAGGAGTTCTCTGAATTTCAGCTCTCTGGAAGCCATGTTCACATTTTTCCAGATTGACTGGCAGTTAATTAATACTTTCTCTAAAACGACTAATTAAAAACATGCAGGTAGACTCTATTATGACATTTTACATATGAGGTTCTTTGAAGACACAGGGAGACTGGTAGTGTGACTAAGAGCATAGACTGGAGAGACAGTTTGGGTTCAAGCTTTGGTCTTTGCTACCTATCACGTTGGGGCAGCCACACAATTGGCCAAGACCAGTGCAAAATTCTGTGTGGAAGTTGTCCCACTTCCAGGGCCCTACTGGCCTGGGATGTCACCTCAGAGGTGGAGTGGGT